AGCACAGGAAACGAACCTGGCTTTTTGAAGGAAAGCTGGACCTTCAGAAAACACCTAGACTTTTTCAATTAGCTGGAAGGAGAAGTCAACAGTGTTTAGAGAGGAAAACCAGAAAAGCACAATTTTAGTGATACACAGAATGACAGAGGGACAGAAAGGAGGAAGGGAGAGATGTGAAAACATTTACAATGTTTTCCACTGAAATATCCATTTATTAATTTTCCATTTTAAAGATGTACTCTCCTCAGAAGTCTTGAATATATAAGAAACTTTCTTGAAAAGATGTCTTGCATTCAGTGTGTCCCAGGATGCAGGGCTTATCTGCCACCTGTCACTAACGACTCTCCTGCTTAGGGATGTGATGACAATGAATGCTGGAAGGAATTGGAGGGAGCATCTGTGGACACTCACCCAGAAACACACATCTAGTAACTAGCCGAGCTGCAGATCATTCTAGACTGTCTGGTCACCCGTTCAGCTCTTTGCTTTCACTCACTATTCTGTGCCCTGCTCTAGACTATAAATCTTGGACAAGCAGAGGTATGCTCTGTGAATTGTTGCCATTCCCAGTGTGTTGCAAGGGGTTCCCATGATTACTGACATCCTCCTCTGAATGAGGCCTATTTGGCCCATTCAGAAAAAAGTTGAGCTATAGGATTTCCTGACAATGATATGCAAGTGTGATTTCCTTCCATTGTAGAGACGGCTAACAATCTCTCTCTCTCTCTCTCTCTCTCTCTCTCTCTCTCTCTCGATTGGAAATTAAATTATGTCAGTTCAGAAAAGAAAAGATAACATTTAGTTCAAAATCTACCCGCACCCACCTCTGTTCTTGTTGAACCCGTTTATCTTCTAAAACCCACCTTGCACGTTGCCTCCCTCAGGAAGCTTCGCCCTCCTCTTCTCCCACTCTTTGGCATTTGTCTTCTGTTACATCGCATAACAATTTGTTCATATTTTCTGTGCCCTGATGGACCCCACTGGGCAGGGGCCAGGTGTCACCATTCCTTGGCCCAGGACCAAGCACCTTAGAGGGACTTCAGTATTTGGTGAAAGAATGAATGGCATTTTCATTTCTTAAGAAATATATTTTAAAGAAAGCTAGAAACTAAACCATGCTAATTTTTAAGGAGGGGGAATGACATGCATGCTTACTAGTAACATATTGTTGAGTAATTTAACAGAAAGGATATCTATACCATAGCAAAATCTGGATAAAAGTAGAAAAATGAGATCCACTATAGATGTCAGATCAAAAGTCCCCTTTCTTTTTGGCAGCATACAGACAAAAGATTCATAAAATTGGCTGAACTTCGCTTTGCATCAAGATATTTTGTCATCGCTTAATACATTTAACCAGCATTTACAGCATAGACACTTGCACAGAGCACCGTGCCAAGTGCTATGGCAACAAAAGAAAAAGATCCAGTTCTGAGCAGCTGCTATTAAATCTTTCTTACATGAATTGCCCCTAAGCACTCAACTCACATCATTTCCATTGATGTCAGGGTGAAATCCCATTGTAAATCATTTCCCGTTAGCACTTGAAACTTGTACATTCTTGTCAAAGTCTTTCTCTAGCATCATTGCCATTGTTGCTCGCACAGCATTTTACTCATACCTCTCTGAGAGTGATTTTCGTTTATATGTTGGCTAGCTGTATGTGTCTCTATCGTCTAATGCCTGGGTCAGCAGAATAAGATCTGCAGGCCAAATCCAGCTTGCTACCTGTTTTTGTAAACACGGTTTCATTGGCCAACCATACTCACTCATTTACATACTGCGTAGGACCCCTTTTGCATGCTGCAATCATAGAGTTGAGCAGTTGCAACAGAGACTCTGTCCTGCACTGCCCAAAATATTTACTATCTGGCCCTTTATAGAAAAAGTCTGCTGACCTCTGTTCTAATATATTGAGAGATCCTTGAAGGCAGTGGTTTTGTTTTATTCCTTTTGGTTTCAAAGCCAACTTCAGTACCTTTATTAATTCAATCAGCGAATGTTTGGGTCCTACTATGTGCAGGGCACTGTTCCAGGCACTGGTGGTACAAAGAGCCAAGCAAAGTCTCCCCCCTCAACAGAGCTTCTGCTCTAGTGGTGGGGTAGTGGGGAGAGATGGAGTGGTGATCAAACTAGTAGAATATGCCGGTGATAAATGTTATGGAGAAAAACAAACTGAGATGGAGGATTGCTGCAATGGGTGGGTGCGTGGTTGTGTTGTGGTGGTAGCAGGGAAACTGGTTTTATGTGGGTGCACAGAGAAGGTGACACTGCAGCAGAGAGTCATTGTTGATTCCAAGACCTTGCGAGGGGCAGACAGGACGTGCTTGGCATGTTTCAGGAATCACGAGGCCATGTGCCCAAAGCAGAACAAGGGGTAGCGTGGGAGGAAATGAGGTCACTGTCTGAGGCTGTTCTGGGGCTGGTTTGGTTTTGTTGGATTTCTCTCACAGAGATGTGGGAAGCCCCTGGAAAGGAGAGCAGAGTCAAGGCAAGCCCTGTCATGTTGAAACAGGATTGCTGAGTAGGGGATAGACTATGGAGGGAAGGGCAAGGGACCATTTAGAAAGGCATTGTGATAATCCAGGTAAGAGATGATGTCGGTTTGGCCTGTGATCACAGAGGTGGGAGGATGAGGATGCCAGATTCTGGCTTCTCGAGCCAGCTCAGTGCCCAGCGTTCAGTAAATGTCTGTTGAATAAAATGTCAGCGTTTCCATTGGGGCTGGCAATGGAATCACCTGTAACAATTCCGATTGTGCCACTCTGGGATCGAATCCTGGCACCTACTTAAAAATACTAGTATAGCTCTCCAGACATCACTGACGCTCATCCCATGAGAACATGAGAACAGAGCAGATGAAACGGGCTACATTTTTACTTTACTTTACATGCTTGTGATAGGAAGAGAGAAGAAATTAGATTTGCAGATAATTCTGTTTTCCCATGATTAACCAAAATAATGATTAGTAGGTAAAAACCTTTCAATGTCTTCCAAGCCACCCGTAGGATGAGTTGGCTGGGACCAAGCACAGATGATAAGTTTCTCACAGCAGCAGCCCTGCGGTTGGGTTGTATTGCGGGCTGTGGAAAGACGAGGTAGCTTTAATATTTCAAATCTCAGCTGCGCAGTTATTCTTTCTTAGGTAGTTAACATTAGCTGAAGGTTTTTTAAGATACCAGGCTTCTGTGAAGCCAGCAGCTCTTTAATTTTTAACAAGCTCAGCACATACTCTACACTTTTAATGATCAGTTACCATTGGGCTGGTAGCAAGATGAGCTTTTAGTTTAACCAAGCACCATGTGGTATTTCTGACAGATGCTGTTTCAGAAAGGGTCAGGGTGTTCTAGAAATTGAGAATTTTGTAAATAAATGGAGGTGTGAATACAAAAAGGCTGATTGTTGGAATCACTAAACATAGCTCTGCATGTGAAGTCTTCCCATAAATCTGGCTGAGAAAACCCCCCCTCAGAGGGTGATTTGAACCTTGTGTCCACCCGGTGAACCGCCCCATTCTCCCACAGTCGGCAGTGGGCTGCAACTAATATGCCCACCACTGTTCCACAAACCTCTGCTAATGGTCATGAAAGGGAGAAGGTTCAAAGAGGCTTGGTTCCCAGGCCTGCTAATGAGCATGAGGCCTCTATCCCCTTAATGAACCAGAGCTTATGTGGGATTCTCTCCCCTGCCCTTTTTGAAGGGAAGGCAGGCAAGAGTTCACAAAAGCAGCAAGACGTCATGGCGAGGAGAGTGTGCAGCTGGGCCACCCGAAGGCGGCCTGGAGGGCAGCAACAAAGCTGGCGGAGGTCATGCCAGGCCAGCATAGCTCTGGGTGTGAGGCTGGACCTCCTGCCAGCCCGGCCTGTTGCAGGAGGCAGTGACAAGCCCTTGATGGGAGTTTTTAGGCCAGGAGAGCTGTGCAGGATTCCTCAGCAGCTCTTGCAAGCCTCTTTGGAGTAATGCAGCCACCTTACGCTGCTTTCCAAACTGTAATCATGACCACTGTTGTAACTTTTCAAATGAATATTATAGCCACTAAAATCCTTGTTCTAACTGGTTAAATCATTGGTACTTAGGCTCACCACAGCCACTAAAAAAGGCCCTTAGGTATTTGTTTTCAGCTTTCCCATTGCCTGCATTAAACAATAGAATATTCAGATGAGGTAAAGGGATCAAATATATGGTGATGGGAGGAGAACTGACTGGGTGGTGAGCACACAATGGGATATATAGATGATGTATTACAGAACTGTACACCTGAAATCTATGTAACTTTACTAACCATTGTCACCCCAATAAATTTTAATTAAAAACAAAAAGAACATTCAGAAGAGTAACAAACATATGCCAAAAACATTGCTTCTATCACAATCACCTTTGTGAAAGTCAGTGTTTTTTTTCCCCTCAGGAATATAGTTTAAAAACCGACGTCCTATATTTAAGCATTATTTCCACTGAAATCTTGCATTTGATTTCATACAGATTTCATGCCCATTTCTACAATAAGTGCCTTTCTACTTCTCTGAAGCCTGGTGTGGTATTGCAGAGTAAAAGTCCTTAAAACACATATACATAAGGATATAAGTCCAGAAATTCAAAGCTTTGAAAGACTGTAGTTCTTAATTAATGTTTCTACATTTTAATTTTCAATGGAGGGTAAACGTTTGTTGTGACACAATAAGATTATTGTGATTAGATACAAATTATGAAAATTACTGTTTCAATAACTTGCCAGTTTGGAGTAAGACCTTTTAAAGAACAAAATCCCCACCCCACCCCCATTGCTGTTTTCAATGACTGGAACTTTGAGAGAGTGTTAGCTGGTATGCTGGCTTAGGGTGTTTTTCCCTCTCTTTATTTGTCCAGTGAATAGAAAGAGAATTATTTGCAATGTACACAAGATTTACCCTTCCATGAGCTGTGTTTGGAGTTATTCTGAGATGCATTGGAAGCTGACAGCCCCCCTTGTGCCTAATCAGATCTTACTGTTCTCTTTCCAGATAGCTGATCAGCTTCCTTGGAATTTGCTGATGACCCAGGAGAGCTTTGCCTGAAGATGGAAACACTGGAGTCAGAGCTGACCTGCCCTATTTGTCTGGAGCTCTTTGAGGACCCTCTCCTGCTACCCTGTGCACACAGCCTCTGCTTCAACTGTGCCCACCGTATCCTGGTGTCACACTGTGCCACCAACGAGTCTGTGGAGTCTATCACCGCCTTCCAGTGCCCTACCTGCCGACATGTCATCACGCTCTGCCAGCGAGGTCTAGACGGGCTCAAGCGCAACGTCACGCTGCAGAATATCATCGACAGGTTTCAGAAGGCATCCGTGAGCGGACCCAATTCCCCCAGTGAGACCCGCCGAGAGCGGGCATTTGACGCCAACGCCATGACCTCTGCCGAGAAAGTCCTCTGTCAGTTCTGTGACCAGGATCCAGCCCAGGACGCTGTGAAGACCTGTGTCACTTGCGAAGTGTCCTACTGTGACGAGTGCCTGAAAGCCACTCACCCCAACAAGAAGCCCTTTACAGGCCATCGTCTGATTGAGCCAATTCCGGACTCGCACATCCGGGGGCTGATGTGCCTGGAGCACGAGGATGAGAAGGTGAATATGTACTGTGTGACCGATGACCAGTTAATCTGTGCCTTGTGTAAACTGGTTGGGCGGCACCGAGATCATCAGGTGGCAGCTTTGAGTGAGCGCTATGACAAATTGAAGGTTAGTCCAATCTGCCTTAAGCCAACCCCCTTTCCGCCAGCAAATGTCATGGAAATCAAAAGTATTCACTGCTAGCTACATGGCAGGTGAAGTTTTTCTCTTCACCTTTGTTATCTGATTCATTTTAGCATGTTTACTTGGCAGCCTATAAATGTTACACAATAAGGATATCTTGTAAAAGTTGACTGCTGCTTGTAATTTTAGCGTTGTCAAGGTGAGGGTGAATTTGAAAAATCTGGATCATTTTCAGTCCTCTTAGGAGAGAGGAGGGGGAGAGGGAGGGAGGGAGGTAGGCAGGGAGGGAGAGAGAAAAAGAAGAGGAGGAGGAAGAGGAAGAAGAAGGAGGAGGAGGAGGAGGAGGAGGAGGA